GTTAGGAGTCCTAACAGAAACCCTTCTATAATCACAACGACCAGATCAATATAAACTCATGCGGGCTCCCTTGTTGGGAGTTGAGACGCTTTACCCATCTTGACACATGGGTCACCTTCTTGGGCCCTGCAGCTTATTATGAAATCATCATCCTGTTACAAATATAGTGGCTCTAAACAATGATGCTTGTTCATCAGAGACATATATTGATTTTCAGTGCACAAGAAGGAAAAAGATAACTGCTGCTAAGCCATGAGTATATCACTGGCATTGTGAATTGTGATTAATATTAACAACAAGAAAGGCTCAAATACCATCTGAATTGTGATTAATATTAACAACAAGAAAGGCTCAAATACCATCTGGGTCCTTAACAGTTGACTCTATGTACCATGCACTTACGTTTTTAAAGATCCCAATAGATAACAATAAGCAAATCTGGAAATCGAAGATTTCACTAAAAGTCCAGATTATTTTTTTGTGCTATCTTCGAAGAGGAGCAATTGGCATGGAAGTAAGATGTGTAGTTTTTGTACTCATGATGAGACAATCAAACACCTCTTTTTCCACTGCAAGTCTGCACGCTCTACATGATCAGCCGTCCAAATAGCATCCAATTTGTATCCGCCCACAAGTGTTGCCAATATTTATGGTCACTAGTTGGATAAAAATTTATATAGGTTTAAAACGGTAATAAGGATGGGAGCCTCCACCTTATTATGGTCACTTTGGCTATGTAGAAATGATTTTGTTTTTACTGCACTGGCTTCTTTGGAGGTTATTTTCCATTGTATGCACTGGCTTTGTACGTAGTCTATACTACATAGAACGAATTATCAATTGTTGTTCAAGGCGGCGTGTATACATTTGAAGCGGGTGACCAGAGAGGTTTTTACCCAACATGGATGGCGGCATAATTTTTGGATTGGTCCACCACGTCCTTCGACTTAGGCATAGTTTCGGTCCTATATATGACTTTACTTTTGTCACTATGTCAGTATTTTTTTTTCTTTTGTCTTGGTGTTTGGCTTCCTCATCATGTTTGTATTCGCTTGATGTTACATTTTGAGTTAATAAAAGCGCTCTTTATTGAAAAAAAAAATAGAAGCTGCTTAAGCAGCGACAGTTTTAGGCACTGACGCTGTGAGGGATAAACTATTTGGACCGAATTTCTTTTTACCCCTTGCCACCACAATGTTTTACGGCTGCAAGAACTATTTGCATAATGATAGCACACGCTTAAGTGCTTTCATTGCAGCACCAAAATAGACATCATAGACGCCATTGCTCTAGACAACACTACTCACTACCCATACTACATCATTCTATGCTTTCACCAGCATCGTTGCCTTGCCCCGCTGGTCGTCTCACCATCTCAACCTTAGCAGAAGGCCCTGCAGAACCAACGGGGCTCGTCGATTCTGCCGCGCCATTGCTCTTCTTGAATCCCTTCTTCATCTTGGCCTTCTGAGCCCAACCCAGGACACCCTGCTGCACATGCTCATTGAAGATCTCCTTCTTGTAGAAGCTCCCCATCTTTGCACACAACAGAGGAGATCAGAACATGCGTCAATAATCGGTGTCGATGACACTAGAAACATTTTACGATGTCGAAAAAGTGGTCGCACCTGTGTTACAATTGCATACAGAGGCAGGGTGCTGTAGCTGCAGAGAAGCTGAATGATGAGCCTGCAAGTGCAAGGATACATGGACGCGTCAGTTCAAAGACAAGGTCATGTTCGCTTTGGGAAAAGAAGTTGGAGACGTGTGTGAGGTACCCAATAACAAGCCTCGGCACAATGAAGCCAACTTGCCCCATGATGCAGGAGTTGAATCCGTAGGTGGTCTACAACAGAAATGGGGTAAACGATGTTTCGATCAGTCATTAGATCTTCACCGACCATAATTTAAATAAATAAAAAATAAAAAAATAGATCTTCACCGAACGTAATTTAAATTTGAAACTGGGCCCCCTCAAGATGCTTACCAGTATCCAAAAGAAGAATGCAATCTCAAAGGCATTCTGGAAGAGGATGAAATGGATCAGGAACAGGACGATCCTCGGCCGCCCGAACCAGAAGTGGTCATCCGATGGCTTTACGATCAAATCGCCCTCGACCGCCGAGTGCTTCTCAGCTACATCCTGGGCTAACTGAGCTATGACGTGCTCCAACTTGGTGCCCACGGCTAGCAGAAGCTGCAGGGAGAACAGAGAGTGAGTAAGGGCAGTATAAGAGGCTCATAGCGAATGTTTAAAATAACACAATTGTTATATATGCACTTACAATAAGGGGAATGAATGCAATCCAAAAGTATGTGTGCCACCCTGCAGATTAGCAAAATGTTGTGTAAGATAGCTTCAAGAAGCTTAAATGATGAAATATATTACTGACAAGGTCTAGTGTAAACCATCTTGCGGAACAAAACCGTTCTCATGACAGGTTCTGTTTTTTTTTGCCCGTTACCAACTTAACTGATAAAGAATCTAATTCAAATTTGGAATCTGTAAACAGGTCATGATTGGTTTTTTCTTCTTCAAACTGTAGCGTCTAGGGCCAGATTGTTTTTTAATTCTGAAAGTGGCTCGAACAGAGTTACTGCATTGTATACAAGTGCTGTTCAGAAAAAGATGAGCTGCAACTTACCATTAACATTCAGCAACAGAAAGATCACCACGAAGACCCACAAGTACCAGCTAAAAGAGAATAGACAAAAGATAAAATGAGTTGTGCTTGGAATAGACATGAGTTGAGCCAACTTACAAAGAAAACCAGCTTGGAACAGTATATATACAAAAGTAGAAACTTGTGTGATACTCTCTGCTCACCTTATCCCTACCACCTTCTTAAAATCGGACTCTAAAACCCGCAGCATGTATTTATGGAAATCGAATTTCAGGTTTCCACGGCAGTGGGTCTGCAATCCAAAAATGAACTCATTTTCGCATACGAGGAAAGCAACCAAGTTCAGCTTATTACAAGCTATGCTTACCATGATAAAACCAAGACGCATTGTCGTGTAGTCGGTTTTACTTACTGATCCATAGAACTGTTTGAAAAAAGAATGCTGCAAGGGGAATGGAAAGGGGCTAATTAGTTAGTCAGTACACACTTTCAGTATTAAAATAAAAATAAAGCCTTTCCTATAAGGCATAACCAGACTAAAAGGTTGCATATGTCATAGAAAACTTTACTAGTACATGCAATTTCGCAACATATATTTAGTCTGATAGAAGACCTCATGATTGCTTACCAGCCAACTCAATATTCTAGAATCTTTGCCAATACCCTTAAAATGCTCCCTGATAAATTCGAAATTGTGTACATTGTTCACCTTCTTGGGCCCTGCAGTTTATTATGGAATAACCATCCTGTTACAATTGTAGTGGCTCTAAACAATGCTGCTTATCCATCAGACACATATATTGATTTTCAGTACACAAGAGGGCGTTGTTAACCCACAGGTACATCATTGGCATTGTGATAAATATTAACAACAAGAAAGGCTCAAATACCATTTCCTGCAGTGTCTTTCTGAATTGCATCCTCCCACAGTTTCCACTGATGTATCTGAGTAAGAGAATACGCAAAATCAGCTTACCATAGCATGCGGTATTCCGTGGCTAATGCACAGCGCCGTAACTGATAAGTGGCTTACCTTTGCACCTCCTAAAAGCATCGTCAAAACACTGAATACAACATGTGTAATAGCCAGCACAAATATGAAAATATGCAACTGGTGTATAGCTTCAAGGGACATCAACGGAGCTTTTCCCTGTTAAAACAAACACTAGGATTCATAACAGCATAGATTAAAAGGAAATCTGAATATTGTTCAGTTTACATGGATAGAAACTCGACATTATTTAAGACTGAAGGAGTGGGAAGGATAAATGGAACATAGAAGCAATACATTATGATAGAAAAAAATTGAACATGCTGTACAGAGACTTCGAGCAGAGCCATTTGAATGTTCCAATCAAATTAAGTTATATATCAGTTTCTCTCTGCGAGTTAATCAGCACAGTGACATAGCTATCCATACAATATGGTTAGCCGACCTAATAATCTTAAAGAATGTGATTAAACCGGCCATCCTTGTCTGTCTATGGCTTTATGATACCCAGCTGTGATGCCCACTCCTTCCACATGCTACTGTCTAGTGTTCCCATTTCATATCATAGTCAGCGCAAATGTACAAGCAAAACAGAACAACGTCGCATCATCACATCCTAAGATTGACAACATCACAGGAATGGCAAAAAGGGTGGCCCCGTGGCTCCGTCTGTTTGGTCCAAATAATCTTGTACCAAACTAGCTACGAAGTCCTAAGAAAATTTAAGTGTCCGCATGCTCAAAAATCACAATGGTATTGGTACCTAATTCCAACTGCCCACATCCAACCAACTCAATGGTACAGTAGCTCCCCCCCACCCCACAGAAAAAGAGACAGCCACAGTTTGCACGAAATCAAAGTATGTAATTTGCAATGGTGGCCTGGCCCAATCACCTTCGACCGGCAGACGTCGGCTTCCGCCGCGCCCCCGCTGAGCAGCCGCCTCCCGATTCTGCCGATGATCTGGGCTGTAACAAGATGCTCCTTTGTCGGTGACGCTTCACCGGCCCGGACCTCGTCCCCCCCTTGGCATGGCAGCATGTGGAGTGTCCAGCTAGGACGAATGCAGATGTTCTGGATCTTCCCCTGGCACACCGTCAGCAGCAGCGAGATGAACCCGAGAAGCATCAGCTCTGCATTGCACCAAGGAGCAGTTGATGTTACACCCAACATGGAGGATAGATACAACCATGCAAGGTCAAAATTCAAAAAGAGTACTAGCTTTTTGACTATTTTTCAGGGGAACAGTTGGAGACGTTCCTACTGAGAGCAGCCCCCACCCAATTACCCATGGTGCAGGGATAAAGAGAGATGCACTTTTCGCACAGACCACACCACCACAATTTATTTTGTCGACATACTAGCACTTTCTCCAGATTTTTTCTTCTTTTTTGAGTGGGACTTTCTCCAGATCAGTTCTTGGCAATCGAATGAAGCAGGATGCATGCGGGCCATGGCGGGCGGGGCGGGGGGAAGAAATTAATTACCTTCTTTGACCTTGAGGATGGCCTCGTAGAGCGGCTTCTGGTTCTTCCGTTTGAACGTCTGCAGCCGTCGCAACCAAGAACACGGAGCAGTCAATGGATGGATGAGCACGGCCGATAAGAGGAGATCGAAGGGGACGGAATGGCGGCGGAACGGCGGAAGGTGATAAAAGCAGGCGAACGGGCGTGTGATGGATGACGGATTACCTTGCCGAGGTAGTGGAGGCATCGCTCGGCGAGGAGGGAGATGAGCACGATGATGGAGCAGACTAGCGCGACGATCCACGTGGGCGTGAACTCGAGCGTCGCCGCCTCCTCCTCGCCGTGCTCCGCCATGATCCGCCCCCGCTCTCCGCGACGGCGACGGAGGAAAGAGAGAGAGACGTTAGAGAAAGTACTGGAAGAAGCTGGGCTGGGGGAGGGGCGCCGCGTCCTGTAGTTTATTGTTTCTCTCCGATAGGGGGCGGGGTGCGGTGGGGGTGGGGTGGAAGAGGTTAGTAGCTGGCCGTCGTTTGCTTAGCTCTTAAGCGCTGGAGCAGGCGTTTCCGCCATTAATTCTTCAGTTCGCATGATACGTACAGTAGTAGTAGTACCGTGGATGCCATTAAAAGATATGCCTTCAATTCCTTCCTGAATTTGCATGCTCGTGGCTAAAATTAGCGAGGAAAACAGTGTGGCGCACGCCTGAGGGCTGAGGCTCAGGCTTAGCGTCAAAGGTATGTCCTCATTACCTTCCTAAACTGGCTCGAGGCAGGGGTCAGTGGAAAATCAGTGGCCCGAGCTGGGCGGGCCACGCCGTGGATGGACACGTTGGTTTGAATTGGATTGGTGCTGCTAGTGTAGTCCGCGAGACAGCAACCGGCGGCTGTCGCCGCGCGCGTGATCCTGCCCTGCCGACGCGGCCGGCGACTGGCGACGTAGCTCTCGACTGAACCAGTTGCGGCCTCCTCAGATGTCGTGATCACCGCCGGTGGTAGAGTCGTTCAACGGAGCGACGGGGCTCTGCGCACGGGCCAACGTGTAGGGTGGGGGCCAGCCGTCTGGCCGGGTGGGGACGGAGCGGCAGCGGCAGCGTGCGCGGCGCGGCAGCATCGATGCGTGCACGCGAGGACACACGGGATGGTTGACAGGCACGCGTCCGGCCCGCGTCACGGACCATCGAGTGTGCGACCTGGGACATGCCGAGCGGAACAGATGTTGGCAGGCAACGCCCGGCCGATCGCTGTTACTACCACCGCCAGAGACAAGACCAGTCCACCGCCACCTGGTGTGTGGCTGGACTGGACACCCGCCGGCCAGGGTGCGTGGCGACGGCGGGTTGGACCGGCTCGCGGCGGAGCAGCCCGCTTTGTGATTTGTATGCGATGACAGAAAAGCAGAAATAAAAGTCGCTCCGCTTCGAAAATTATACTGTACCACGTACTAGTAGACTGCTACGGTAGTAACGCGTGCCCCGCCTGACGCTCCATTTGCTGCTTCGTGGAGCACCTCATCGCTGGCATGACCATATTTCTGACCGTGCCAGCATTTGCGGGGCTTGGTTTAGTGCCCATTGGCAAAGCACAACGTTCGGGATTCTCAAAGCACTAGAGACCACGTCCGTTTTGTGGTTTTGTACGAGATGTTTTGGTTGCGCGTTATGATAACCGATGCCATGTGGATGAAGATTTAAGAAATAAAAATCCATATTGATTATTATTTTTAAAATGGAGGCGTACCCCCGGCCTTTGCATCATGATGATGCATGCAGTTATCTTATTAAACAAATCCACGAAATAGCACAAAGTCATAAAGGTATTACAGCTCGCAGCTGAAGCGAAAAAAAAAAAGAAAAAAAATGCTGACAATCACAAACAGTACGGCAATATGAAGGATAAGTTTCCTAAACTCCTATCCTGTTATGCAACCATCATCCGAACCGGTTGAATATAGCCCGTGCGACCATCTCTCACTTGTTGCACCCAGTAACCAAAGGCTCCCTGAAGTCCATAGGAGTGAGTAAGGACCATGTACGGATCCAAGCGGTAGCTCTGAATATAACCTGCAAAAAAGTTAGATTTTGTTGTCTGTTAAAAAACAAATCATTTCTACAGTTCCATATAGCCCATAAAAGCGCACATATTCCAATCCGAATACGAGCCGCAATAGTATGCTCAACCCCAACTAACCACGTTTCAAACAACGACTCAATGTCAACTAGAGGATTAATGTTGAAGGCTATATAAATCGTTCTCCAAAGCAATTTGGCGAGTGGGCGTTCAAGGAATAAATGTTGTATTGTTTCATCATGATCACACAAACAACAACATGAACTACCTACCCATCGCCTCTTGATTAAGTTGTCCTTGGTGAAAATTACTTACTTGTGGACGAACCACATAAAAACTTTAATACGCGAAGGAACCTTAACCCTTCAAATATGTGACGATCTTGAGATTGGGCCAGAATTAATCAAATCCAAATAAAAGGATTTCACCGTAAAACCCCCATTTTAGCTATTTTTCATTGCGTTGAATCCGGCTGGTCGGAGAGGTGAACATCTATCAAGGTTTTTAGCTATTTTCCGTTGCGTTGAATCCGGCTGGTCAGAGAGGTGAACATCTATCAATCTCCGAACCAAGTGCATTCAGGCAGTCCATCCCTCACCAACTAACGCGCGTCTGAACTGAATATCCAAGGGAATCATTTGAAAAATTGTGGCAACGTATACCTCTTTACGTAGGGTGCGATATTGTACGGCCAGGGGTGTCTCTCCTAACCACGTATCCTCCCAAAATCTTGTTGACATCCCATTGCCAACCAAGAATTTGACCCTACGAAAAAACAAGTTCTTCGTTCTCTTAAGCCCCTTCAAGAATGGTGAGTCGGTTGGTCTTATAGTAACCTGGGCGAGTGTTTTCGACTGCAAATACTTATTGCGCAAAATCTGCACCCACATGCCTTCCGGTTCCGTCTCTAACCTGTAGAGCCATTTGCTCATAAGGCATTTATTCTTGATTTCTAAGTTCTCAATACCGAGACCCCCTAATCTTTTGGTCGGCAAAGGATATCCCATCACGCGAGACGGTATTTCCTCTTGACCTCATCTGACTTCCAGAAGAACCGAGATCTGAAGAAATCAAGTCACTTCCGTACCCCTTTCAGAATTTTGAAGAACGATAGTAGGAACATCGGCATACTAGTCAGTACCGAGTTAACCAGCACTAGTCGACCTCCATAAGACATAAGCTTGCCCTTTCAACAGCTAAGCTTTTTTTCAATTCGATCTTCGATACATTTCCACTCTTTGTTGGATAACTTACGGTGATGAATCGATATGCCCAAGTAACTAAAAGGTAAGGAACCCAATTCACACCCGAACAATTGTCTATATGTGTCTTGTTCGTCTTTGGCCTTCCCAAAGTAGAACAACTCGCTCTTGCGAAAGTTTATCTTTAAACCTGACAATTGTTCGAAGAGACATAAAATGAGTTTCATGTTGCGCGCCTTAGCAATGTCATGTTCCATGAAGAAGATAGTGTCGTCGGTATACTGTAAGATGGATACTCCTCCATCGACCAGATGAGGGACTAACCCCTCCACCTGACCATGCTGCTTGGCCCTACCAATAAGAATGGCAAGCATATCGGCTACTATATTAAACAAGAGAGGAGACATGGAATCCCCTTGTCTCAATCCCTTGTGAGTCTGAAAGTAGTGACCGATATCAGCGTTAACCTTGATGCTGACACTACCCTTCTAAACTTGAGAACCCACTTGTTTCCACCAGGCTTCACTAAATCCTTTCATGCGCATTGCCTGCTGAAGAAAAGGACATTTAACTTTATCATATGCCTTCTCAAAATCCACTTTGAAGATAACCCCATCTAGCTTCTTCGAATGAATTTCATGAAGTGTTTCATGCAAAACGACCACCCCTTCAAGTATGTGGCGCCCTGGCATGAACGCTGTCTGACTCGGTTGTACCACTGAGTGAGCAATCTGTGTCAATCTATTGGTACCCACCTTTGTGAAAATTTTGAAACTCACATTGAGAAGACATATTGGCCTAAATTGATCGATCCTAACCACCTCTTCTTTCTTTGGCAATAGCATAATCATGCCAAAGTTAACGTGAAACAGTTCTAAATGGTCATTAAAGAAACCATGGAACATCGACATAAGATCATCCTTAATAATATGCCAACATTTCTTATAGAATTCAGCTAGAAACCCGTCTGGTCCCGGTGCTTTATTCGGTTTCATTTGTGAGATTGCATCCAGAACCTCCTTCTCAGTAAAAGGTGCAGAAAAATATCATTCTCCTCCACCTGGAGTTGAGGTATATCTCCAATAACAGATTCATCTAGGGCCACCGTGCTTGCCTCAGGAGGCCCAAAAGGTTGTTTATAGTAATTAGAGATATAAGCTTTCAGATTCTCATGCCCCACAATTGTCCCCTCATCCTGCTCAAGTTGTAAGACTTTCTTCTTCCTATGTTTACCATTCGCAATCATATGAATTGTGTATTGTCATCCCCTTGGACAATCTTAAGAACTTTAGCACGCAATGCCCACTTGAGCTCTTCTTCTCTAAGAAGAGCTCATAAGCCTTGTTCAGCTTCGGATTTGGAGCTTTGCTCATTAACCGTAAGAAGGTTACTTTCGGCTTTTAAAATCTAGCGCTTCAATTAATTGAGTAAGTCGCTCTTTTTCTTGTTTGTAAATCTCACTCTTGTTTCTGGCCCAACCTCGCAAAAATTGTCTCAGATGTCTGATTTTATTTTGCCATCTCTTACTACTAGTTCTTCCACTAACAGGCTTTGCCCATTCGCGTGCAATGATCTCCAAAAAGTTTTCCTTCTCAAACAACCTTAGTTCGAAAGAGAAAGCATTCTTGTTCGCGACATGAGTAGCCTCTCCCGAGTCTACAAGAAGTGGTGTGTGGTCTGAGATCGCTCTCTGCATCGCATGAACCGACACCAAAGGGTATTTTTGTTCCCATTCCACACTAGCGAGAACCCTATCCAACTTCTCATAAGTCGGAGTGGGCAAAGTATTGGTCCATGTAAATTGTCTACCGGTGAGTTCAATTTCTCTCAAATCAAGGCTCTCGATAATCATGTTGAACATCATGGACCAATGACCATCAAAACTGTCGTTATTTTTTTCCTCTCTCCTCTGAATCTATAATACCTAAATAGTTCATCCCCACTAACTAATTCTCTTGACATGAAGCCTATCCACATCA